AGATTACGGAATGTGATTGTTACTGAAGAGAATGACATAGAGATAGATAGATAGATAGATAGATAGATAGATAGATAGATAGACAGACAGATAGATAGGGAGAAAGAGACAATCAGAGAGATAAAGAGATGAGCATATACTTAGAGAAAGAGAGATATAGATTTGAGATTTTAGATAGATTGATAAATGAGAAAAGACTGAGATAGATAGATAGATAGATAGATAGATAGATAGATGAGAAGACTGAGATAGATAGATAGATAGATAGATAGATAGATGAGAAAAGACTGATATATATATATATATATATATATATATATATATATAGATAGAGAGAGAGAGAGAGAGAGAGAGAGAGAGATTACGGAATGTGATTGTTACTGAAGAGAATGACATAGATAGATAGATAGATAGATAGATAGATAGAAAGATAGGGAGAAAGAGACACAGAGAGATGAAGGAGATTTTAGATAGATTGATAAATGAGAAAAGACTGAGATAGATAGATAGATAGATAGATAGATAGATAGAGAAGACTGAGATAGATAGATAGATAGATAGATAGATAGATAGATAGATAGATGAGAAAAGATGATATATATATATATAGAGATAGAGAGAGAGAGAGAGAGAGAGAGATTACGGAATGTGATTGTTACCGAAGAGAATGACATAGATAGATAGATAGATAGATAGATAGATAGGGAGAAAGAGACAAACAGAGAGATAAAGAGAGATGAGCATATACTTAGAGAAAGAGAGATATCTTGAGATTTTAGATAGATTGATAAATGAGAAAAGACTGAGATAGATAGATAGATAGATAGATAGATAGATAGATGAGAAGACTGAGATAGATAGATAGATAGATAGATAGATAGATAGATAGATAGATAGATAGATAGATAGAAGATAGATAGAAGATAGATAGATAGATAGATAGATAGATAGATAGATAGATAGATGAGAAAAGACTGATATATATATATATAGAGAGAGAGAGAGAGACAGACAGAGAGATTACGGATGATGATTGATTGTTATTGAAGAGAATAGATAGATAGATAGATAGATAGATAGATAGATAGATAGATAGATAGATAGATAGATAGATGAGAAAAGACTGATATATATATATATATATATATATATATATATATAGAGAGAGAGAGATTACGGAATGTGATTGTTACCGAAGAGAATGACATAGATAGATAGATAGATAGATAGATAGATAGATAGATAGATAGATAGATGAGGGAGAAAGAGACAAACAGAGAGATAAAGGAGATGAGCATATACTTAGAGAAAGAGAGATCTATCTTTGAGATTTTAGATAGATTGATAGATGGATAAATGAGAAAAGACTGAGATAGATAGATAGATAGATAGATAGATAGATAGATGAGAAGACTGAGATAGATAGATAGATAGATAGAGATAGATAGATAGATAGAAAAGAAAGAACAGAATGAGATAGATAGATAGATAGATGAGAAGAGATGAGATAGATAGATAGATAGATAGATAGATAGATAGATAGATAGATAGATGATGAGAAAAGACTGATATATATATATATATATATATATATAGATAGAGAGAGAGAGAGAGAGATATAGATTACGGAATGTGATTGCTATAGATAGAAGAGAAGAATGACATAGATAGATAGATAGATAGATAGATAGATAGATAGATAGATAGAGATAGATAGATCGATGAGAAAAGATAGATAGATATATATATAGATATATATATATATATATATAGAGAGAGAGAGAGAGAGAGAGAGAGAGAGATTATGGGGAATGTGATTGTTAATGAAGAGAATGACATAGATAGATAGATAGATAGATAGATAGATAGATAGATAGATAGATAGATAGATAGGGAGAAAGAGAGACAGAGAGATAAAAGAGAGATGAGATAGATAGAGAAAGAGAGATATATCTTGAGAGATTTTAGATAGATAGATAATAAATGAGAAAAGACTGAGATAGATAGATAGATAGATAGATAGATAGATGAGAAGACTGAGATAGATAGATAGATAGATAGATAGATAGATGAGAAAAGACTGATATATATATATATATATATAGAGAGAGAGAGAGAGAGAGAGAGAGAAAGAGATTACGGAATGTGATTGTTACTGAAGAGAATGACATAGATAGATAGATAGAGATAGATAGATAGATAGATAGATAGATAGATAGAAAGGGAGAAAAGAGACAAACAGAGAGATAAAGCGAGATGAGCATATACTTAGAGAAAAGAGATATATCTTGAGATTTTAGATAGATTGATAAATGAGAAAAGACTGAGATAGATAGATAGATAGATAGATAGATAGATAGATAGATAGATGAGAAGACTGAGATAGATAGAGATAGATAGATAGATAGATAGATAGATGAGAAAGACTGATATATATATATATATATATATATATATATATATATATATATATATAGAGAGAGAGAGAGAGAGAGAGAGAGATTACGGAAATGATTGTTAAGAAGAGAAATGGATAGATAGATAGATAGATAGATAGATAGATAGGAGAAAGAGACACACAGAGAGATGAAGGAGATTTTAGATAGATTGATAAATGAGAAAAGACTGAGATAGATAGATAGATAGATAGATAGATAGATAAGAAGAAGAGATAGACTGAGATAGATAGATAGATAGATAGAGATAGATAGATAGATAGATAGATAGATGAGAAAAGACTGATATATATATATATATAGAGATAGAGAGAGAGAGAGAGAGAGAGAGAGAGAGAGAGATTACGGAATGTGATTGTTACCGAAGAGAATGACATAGATAGATAGATAGATAGATAGATAGATAGATAGGGAGAAAGAGACAAACAGAGAGATAAAGCGAGATGAGCATATACTTAGAGAAAGAGAGATATATCTTGAGATTTTAGATAGATTGATAAATGAGAAAAGACTGAGATAGATAGATAGATAGATGAGAAGACTGAGATAGATAGATAGATAGATAGATAGATAGATAGATAGATAGATGAGAAGATGAGATAGATAGATAGATAGATAGATAGATAGATAGATAGATAGATAGATAGATAGATAGATAGATGAGAAAAGACTGATATATATATATAGAGAGAGAGAGAGAGAGAGATTACGGATATGATGATTGTTATAGAAGAGAATGACATAGATAGATAGATAGATAGATAGATAGATAGATAGATAGATAGATAGATGATGAGAAAGACTGATATATATATATATGTATATATATATATATAGAGAGAGAGAGAGATTATGGAATGTGATTGTTACCGAAGAGAATGATAGATAGATAGATAGATAGATAGATAGATAGATAGATAGATAGATAGATAGATAGATAGATAGATAGGAGAGAAAAGAGACAAATAGAGAGATAAATAGAGATGAGCATATACTTAGAGAGAAAGAGATCTATCTTGAGATTTTAGATAGATTGATAAATGAAAAGAAAGATAGATGATAGAGAAGATAGATAGATAGATAGATGAGAAGACTGAGATAGATAGAGAGATAGATAGATAGATAGATAGATAGATAGAGAGAGAAAGAAAGAAGAATGAGATAGATAGATAGATAGAGATAGATAGAAGAGGAGATAGATAGATAGAGATAGATAGATAGATAGATAGATAGATAGATAGATGAGAAGATAGATAGATATATATATATATATATATATATATATATAGAGAGAGAGAGAGAGAGAGATTACGGAATGTGATTGCTTTGAAGAGAATGACATAGATAGATAGATAGATAGATAGATAGATAGATAGATAGATAGATAGATAGATCGATGAGAAAAGACTGATATATATATATATATATATATATATATATATATAGAGAGAGAGAGAGAGAGAGAGAAGAGAGAGAGATAGATAGATGATGATTGTTACCGAAGAGAGAGATAGATAGATAGATAGATAGATAGATAGATAGATAGATAGATAGATAGATAGATAGATAAAGAGACACACAGAGAGATAAAGGAGATGAGCATATACTTAGAGAAAGAGAGATATATAGATTGAGATTTTAGATAGATTCATAAATGAGAAAAGACTGAGATAGATAGATAGATAGATAGATAGATAGATAGATGAGAAGATAGATGAGAAGACTGATAGATAGATAGATAGATAGATAGATAAATAGATAGATGAGAAAGATGATATATATATATATATATATATATATATAGAGAGAGAGAGAGAGAGAGAGAGAGAGAAGAGATTACGGAATGTGATTGTTACCGAAGAGAATGACATAGATAGATAGATAGATAGATAGATAGATAGATGAGAAAGAGACTGATATATATATATATATATATATATATATAGAGAGAGAGAGAGAGAGAGAGAGAGAGATTACGGAATGATAGATTGATTAGATGAAGAGAATGACATAGATAGATAGATAGATAGATAGATAGATAGATAGATAGATAGATAGATAGATGAGAAAGATGATATATATATATATATATATATATATATATATATATATATATATATATATAGAGAGAGAGAGAGAGAGAGAGAGAGAGAGATTACGGAATGTGATTGTTACCGAAGAGAATGACATAGATAGATAGATAGATAGATAGATAGATAGATAGATAGATGAAAGACTGAGAAGATATATATATATATATATATATATATATATATATATATAGATAGAGAGAGAGAGAGAGAGAGAGAGAGAGAGAGAGAGAGATTATGGAATGTGATTGTTACCGAAGAGAATGACATAGATAGATAGATAGATAGATAGATAGATAGATATAGATAGATAGATAGACAGATATGGGGAGAAAGAGACACACAGAGATAAAAGGAGATGAGCATATACTTAGAGAATGAGATATATCTTGAGATTTTAGATAGATTGATAAATGAGAAAAGACTGATATAGATAGATAGATAGATAGATAGA